ACTTGTGTGCAAAAGCACATTGTAAATAATGGGCTACATCTTACCTTTAAAAAAAAAATGCTGTACTGAGCTTTTTCAAGCTGCAGTGTGCAAGAGACCTAAGTCTGCCCACAAGGTATCCAGTATGAGGTAATTTAAATTCCTTAAACCAGCCAAGACCTTTCTGCTCCCTTCATTGGATGATCCTGTCCAGTATGGGGACTGGCCTCACACAAGGAATATTTGTTTCTCCTCCAAAGTGTTTTAGTCAACATTATCCTATTATATTCCACTAACAAGGCCCATTCAGGCCTTCAAACTCATAGTATCTTGTTTACGAAAAATTTTAAGCTGGGTAACACAGGATTCTAGCTGCTAAACCTCCATGGAAGTACACAACGTATTAGCAATGGATACTTCCTTATAAATAAAAATGGATAAAACTCACATGCAGAAGTGTCACACTTCAAGGTTGTGGTACATCAGATGTCGGGATTTGTAGGCCAATACCTTGACTCCAGAAAGAATAGAATAAGTGGTCAAGAAATTAGACAGCCAATGGTGTCCAGCATCTGGAAAAGATCACCCGGATGGATACAGGGGTAGTTCTCAAACTTTTCATGCGAAGATCTAACAGCCTCCAGATGAAATTTAGCAGACGTCAAATTAAAAGACCAGCTAAATGAAGGATCCCCTATTGACTTGAAAAATGTTTGAAAAAAAAAAAAGATGAAGGAACTGTTATGAGAATCCTTCTAGGATGGAATAATTTTCACATTGCCCATGCTCTGGCAATAAATAGTTTGACTTTTTGCCCGAAGGACCAGCTTGGTGCCTGTTTACATGCAAATTTCCTAACTCAGAGGGAAAAAAATTGAGGATCAGCACAAGGAGAAAGACCATGTGAAATTGAAACTCCCCAACAATTCCATAAAGCCTCAAAAAAGTCATGGACAAGGGTCCGTAATGGGTGTAACTGATCAGAACCTTGGCTTAGCATAAAAAAATGTGAGCAACTAGGGCTCTGACTCATGGTAGTAAAGATCTCCTGATCATAAAACAATGGGATGCCAGGAAAAGAAGGGGCACGAAGATAGACATAAGGGTAAGAGCTGTAAAGTAAAACCAGCAAGAGGACGTTGAATAGTCAAGAGCTTACGAGGTAAAGGGGCAATAGGAATTGATCTCTCGCAGGCCTCAAAATTGAAGGGTGTCAAATACCAAAAGGGTTATAACATAGTGTGGAAATAAATGTTATATCTATTGGAATGATATAGTGCTACCTCAGTAGGAATCAGGGATGCAGGTTGCAGAGTACCCAAACAAATCAGGGAAGAAGCACAATAGAGTGCAGTAAATCCAGAAAGGTCACCTGAAGAAGGTACCTGAATCAAGGATCTAGAGTGGAAGCTGCAAGGGTTGCCTGAGCATTCAAGCTGCAAGAAGGTAACCTCCAAGAATCTCAGCGTTACTCACTACCTTGATGTTGATGTTTTTCTTTGCCAGTGTCCCAACTCCTGAAAGTGGCAGCATAACCTAAACATCTAAGAATTTTGTACATTCCTGTGTCCCTCATTAGACCATAACAAAATCAGGTTTATTCAAAAGCAGGGAAAATGATGTCCTCCTTGGTTTCAATGGTGAACACATAAACAAATGGAGCTACAGATGAGGTGGTTGCCAACAAGCATTATAGTACACAGTCATCCAGAAAAGGGAGCTCTAAAATCCTGTTCATGGTTTCCTTTTTACTACAGGTTGCAAAATCGTATTTACAGAGCTCAATAGCTCAAGCTGAAATCTACAGCCACAAAGAATAAAAATACACTTTGTCCCAGCAAATGCTTTTGCAAAACCCAGGTATTTCCTTGTAAATGTAGCATCGACATCATCACCGTGCTGTGTATAGCATGTGCAGAGAGCACAGTGGTTGATTTTAAGTGGAAATAACCTTTTTTTCCTTTTATTAGGTTAGTATGGGAAACAGAACCTATGTTTCCCATACTATCCTAAGGCATACTATGGCTTTTTACTGCGGTCAGTGTCCTTGCACAAGGACAAGACGGTGAGAGATCTTCACAACAGGGACACAGCAATAAAAACCTGACATGGGTTATAACCCTTTTAATTTCTAAGTAGTTAAAGAACAATGACTACAGTTCTACTTTAACAAAGGTAAGAATCTTAACAAAACCAAATTGACCACAGAACCCGTGTAATTTGGATATGCATTCTAATGTATGTCATCATCTTATACAGTATGATATGATTTCACTATAGCAGAGCATAGTTTTAATTAAACGTAGAACCATGGGGGGAGATTTACATAGTAACCAATCAGCTTCCACGTTTTATTGTCAAAGCTTAATTGAACAAGCTGAAATTAGAAGCTGATTGGTTACTATGCATGGCTGCACCAAATTCTGTATAAGAATTTTAAATCTTCCCCAAGGTCTCTCATTAAAAAAAGTATATATATATTATTATTATTATACAGTATTTATATAGCGCCAAAGGGTATGCTCAGCGCTGTACAGTAGCAAGGGGGACAGAACATGAGACAAGACAGTAACAATACAATACACGAGGGGTTCGAGGGCCCTGCTCTTTCGAGCTTACAATCTAGGAGGGAGGGGATAGTGGTACAGGAGGAAATGGCTGTGGGGGATGGAGTGGTGGGAGGTTAGTTGTTAGGTGAGGTCAGGTGTTAGGTGAGGTTGGGGTAGGCTCACCTGAAGAGGTGGGTTTTCAGGGTGCGCCTGAAGGTGAGGAGGGTAGGTGACAGTCTGATGGATTGGGGTAGGGAGTTCCAGAGGATGGGGGAAGTCCTGGAGAAGTCCTGCAATCGGGCGTGGGAGGAGGAGACCAGGGAGCTAGAGAGCAGGAGGTCCTGTGAGGAGCGAAGGGCACGGGTAGGGTAGTATTTGGGTATCAGGTCGGTTATGTAGTTTGGGGCGGCGTTGTGGATAGCTTTGTAAGTCAGAGTTAGCAGTTTGAATTTGATGCGTTGGGCAATCGGGAGCCAGTGAAGGGATTGGCAGAGGGGGGAGGCAGATGTGGAGCGGTTGGTGAGGTGGATGAGTCTAGCCGCTGAGTTTAGGATCGACTGGAGTGGGGATAGCGTTCGTTTGGGTAGGCCAGTGAGAAGGGAATTGCAGTAGTCCAGGCGTGAGATGATGAGGGAGTGTACGAGTTGTTTGATGGTGTCTGGGGTGAGGAATGTGCGTATCTTGGAGATGTTACGGAGGTGGAGCCTGCAAGATCTAGATAGCAGTTGGATATGGGGTAGGAAGGAGAGGTGGGAGTCCAGGGTGACACCCAGGACTTTGGCGTTTGGGGTGGAAGAGATGGTGGCGTTGCTAGTAGTGATGGAGAGGATGGGGGGGGCACAGGGGGGGGGGAAGACCAGGAGCTCGGTTTTGGATAGGTTAAGTTTGAGGAAATGGAGCGACATCCAGTCTGATATGTCGTTTAGGAGGTGGGCGATGCAGGCGGAGAGTGAGGGGGTGAGGTGGGGGGTGGAGAGGTAAATTTGGGTGTCGTCGGCATAGAGGTGGTAATTGAAGCTGTGGGAGTGAATAAGTTTGCCAAGGGAGGAGGTGTAGATGGAGAAGAGGAGGTGCCCGAGGACAGAGCCTTGGGGGACCCCAACAGAGAGGGGGAGGGAGGGGGAGGTGGCAGTGTTGTAGGTGACGCTGAAGGAGCGTTGGGAAAGGTAGAAGGAGAACCAGAAGAGAGCAGCGTCCCTGATGCCAAGGGAGTGCAGTTTGGCAAGGAGGAGAGGGTGGCCAACAGTGTCGAAGTCCGCGGAGAGGTCAAGGAGCAGGAGGATATATATATATGCTACTGCACTTAATTGTAACTGGTGCTGCACTTCCAGTTTTCTCTTAAGACTCTCTGCAAAGCCTCACTAATACCTTTAAGCCTGTAGTAAACTCCACCCAATGCAGCTTCCTGTGATGTGGTGGCAACTGTGCTTCACCGCTGCTGAATTCAGAGCAGAGTTGTCACTCTCATGCAGGCAGAGACTGTTTGTACTACAGAGACATGAAAAAAAAAATGTTGCAGGGGGTACGTGCTTATCAGCATTGTAAAATATCAATCAGCCCCTGGTCACACCTTGTGTTGTCCACTGCTTTCTGGATTGACAGCACTGCATCTGCTGCTGAAACCCTCCTACTGTGAGCTGCAGTGTCTGGGAGGGGAGTGTGTGAAGCACGAAGGAAAGTCAATGTGCCTCAGTCAGGGAAGGAAAAGGACATTTTTTTGTTTACTTTGTGCTGTTTGTGAATCACAGGAGATTAAGGGGGGACATTTAGGCGACTACAAACCTCATAAAAAAGGTGCACTCCTAATATATAGGTACAGTAGGCTACTTGGGGACTCACCAATCTCGCTGTAGGATCCATCCATAATAAGATCAAGATTCAATCTTCACTCTTAGGACCTTCAGGGACTCGAGTCCCCTTCTTGGGGTTCACTGCCCTGGACCTGTATAGCACCTTGCTGGAAAAACCTTGGTAAGTTATTACTGTGCAGGGTTCCATATACGCAAGGTCCAGTGCTACGTGGTCACATTACAGGCCGCACCCATGTCCACACTTCTTCTATCGCAGCAGGGTCTAGGTATCGTCCATTTAAGCTCAAAAGCCATAGGAACAGATTCAAATACTACCAAACACTTGATTCCAATCTGGACTTATCTGAGCACATATTAGCATTTGCGCAGAGCTGCACATTAGTGACCATCACCTTCTGACACCGGCAGTAAAATCTGATGTTCTTTTTGCATGGGAGGGGTTACATAGGGGAGAATTTCCTGTCTTTTTTTTTGCCAGTGTCCAATCACGTGTAGGTGGCTAGTAACCTAGGTAGTCATGATTTATAGCTTGCTCTGTATCTCGTGATGTACAAGAAAGAAAGGACATTTTGTTTACTTAGCAACGCTTGTACATCACATTGTAACTATAGTTGGTACTTGTTTGGACTGAAATACAAGTGCCCTTAGTAGCCCTTTAAACCTTAGGTTGTAGCTCTGCCCAAATCTTCCTGATCCTCTTCTCCACCTCAGTATATTTCACAGGAAGTTCCAGGATCTCAAGATGGACATCGTCACCAAGACCAAGGTTTGCCAGTTCCTGCCAAAAAAAAAAAAAAAACAGTTAAAAAAATATATACCAACTGAACTTCTTGATAGCTGAAACATGAAGGTGCAAACAAGCTGACATTCTAGCTGTTCAAGGATGTAGCTGACATACATTTGGACCGAACACTGAACTCATCCCTACTGGCCACAGGACCCACATGGAAGAAAAATATATTTAAAATATATTTAAAACATATTCTTCCCAAATATATTGACATATATTTGAAATACTACAATTTTGGCCATATGCAATATATATATATAATATATATATATATATATATATATATATAACTGCATGTTGCAATGTGTTTATATTACAAATATATGAAGAATATTTTAAAAATACATTTCAAATATACTGTATGTCTTTAAAAATACAGATCTACATTTTTGCAATGCATTTACAAATATATGTAAAAATATATGTTAAAATGACTTTTTAATATGTTAAAAAAATCTGAAGAATATATTTAAAAAAATATATATTTTTAAAAATATATTGCATTTATACTTGTGAGAGCCACTAAAATTGTGAGTTAATAAATACTGTGGTTCGCTGACATTATTCACATCCTCATTACCATGTGTTATTATACCATATATTTTAAAAAAAAAACAAAAATGTTGCGCTCCAAAATAAAATACCTTAATAGTATATACCAAATTAATTCTCAGTGATTTAAATCCTTTAATATATAATCAAAAAGTGCCTAAATTCATAATTATCATAAATAATTATAGTGATAAATGAATATGAAAAATTAATAATAATCAACCGTGCCATATAATAAATAATTCAGTTGTAATATAACTCAGATAAATATAAAAGTCTATATTTAAATTAATAGTGATAGCCCCATGTGATCCAAAGCGATCTTTTCAAAATCTTGTTTGCTTCTATTTATGATTATAATATGCGCTCACCTCCATGTAAGCCTAATATAATTTAGGCAAACATCACTTTTGGCCACAATAGGAACCTGATGTATTCACTTGTTAAGCCGTTGGAATTTGATGGGTGATAGATATCCCCTGGGAGCTCCTTAGTAATCCTCTCCTTCTTTGCAGATATGACTGCTGGGATCTCTCCCTCCTTGTTGTGCTGTGGGATTTTTGCTCCATCCCTCCGATCCTCCCCTAGATTCTCCTCCGTATTAAATGCATAAAAGAAAGTAGATATAGTGCCTTATCCTTTTTTAAAATTAATTTATTTAGTGCCCAACAATGCACTCACATTTTAAAAAACATTTAGAGCTTTGTATAATACTAAAAACAGAGCCTCCTCACTGTGTGTATACCGCTCAATGCCTATACTGGCTGTCCTGGGTGTGTGGTGATGTCAGAGCCCCTCCCCTACGCGTTGCGCCACAGGTCCTCGTGGCTTCGTCAGGGGATGTGAATGGACGCTCACCTCACCCATACTGCTTTATATAGCTGATACGCGCCATCTTATTGTAGAGCTCCTAATCGCAGCCATCTTTTTGGGGCCAAATTCCATTTGACAATCCTACTCTTCCACCTGCGCTGTCAGAATGATTACTTTGTATCTAATAGATACAAAGTAATCATTCTGACAGCGCAGGTGGAAGAGTAGGATTGTCAAATGGAATTTGGCCCAGCAGTCATATCTGCAAACAAGGAGAGGATTACTAAGGTGCTCCCAGGGGATATCTATCACCCATCAAATTCCAACGGCTTAACAAGTGAACTGAAACCGGAAGTGACAAAATTCTCATCGCCTCCCGTTTGTGATGTCACAGAGTAGGAGGAACAATAGAAGTTCCTCTTACTGTCTGGGGACACTGATCCCAGTTGTCCCATCTGTACCTGGGACAGGAGAGCCCGGTAAAGGCGGTGGTGGGGGGGGAGACCCCCTTCCACTGCTTGTAAAAGTGATCAGACAGCTGTATAGCCACTCTGATCACTTTTACTTTGTAGGGAATCGTCATTGTCTGAACAGCTGCAGCTGTAATGATGATCGAAATATCACCCTTCCTGCCCAAGGATGTATATATACGTACGTGGATGGGAAGAGGTTAATATCTTTATGTGGTAAAAGATTCAAGAATGATATAGTCAGAATAGAATGGACTTACCGCTGCTTTTCTAGAACACATACTAAATGAATGTTCTTTATTATGAATAGAGAATTCTTAGAATGGCACTAAGGCTAGGTTCACACTAATGCGATGCGGTACATCGCATGTGATTCGCACAGGGACCGCACCGCATTCCTGTGCAAATCACATGCGATTTGTGTGTGGTGTGATTGGAGTCATACATTTTGTATGGCTCAAATCGCACCGCATCTGCACCAAAAAAATGCAGGGCCCTTTTTTGGGTCCGCACTAGAGTCGGATTGCATGAGTATTCACACCTATAAGATCCGATTCTGCACATCGCACCGCGTTTTGCAGATCGATTTCGGGGTGTTGTTAACATACACACCTGCAGCGGTTCGCATTAATGGGGTGCGATTCTGATGCGGTGCGGAATTCGCACAGAAAACGCTGTGAATTCCAGACCACATCACTGTGAACCCAGCCTGAAGGTTTCTTCAGCTTGGTATATCCCAATGCCCCAAAAACATATTCATCATTCATAGCCAACAATTTCATAAATAATTCCATACTGTAACATGTTGGGGGTATCCAAACTAACCTTTACTGCTTCCCAACTGGAATTCACAAGATAGTTTCTGTAGGGACCAAAACCTTCCAAAAAAAAAGAAATAACAACTGCAATAACTGTAATAATAACTGTAATTCTGTAATTCTAGCAATGCCAAGGCTGCATAACTGAATACTGGATCAGCTTGTTTAAACTAAAATGAGGTAAGAAGCCTGTGTAGAACTGTAAATTTTTGTTTATTAAAAAGTTTACAAACAATATAATAAAAAACATATTTACATATATACAGAATAAATAAAAAAAAATATATATATAAAATTAAACAAAAATCGCTTACTTCAGCATAGAAAACAATTAACGGCTTTAAAGCCTATAAAGTGTAGCACCCTTCTAGTCAGCTATGGGGCGCCAGCTGATTACTTTTTAGTTAGAAGAGCTGAGTAGCAGCCTGGGCAATAGTCAGCTGGGTCAGATTTGGGTCAGGGTTGAGAAGCTCTGCAGATCAGTTCTTTGATACCTCCCCCTGCTCTAGAATCTTGGAGAAGATTCGAAGAGCAGTGGGCGGGGACGAGGAGGAGCTGGTCTGCATTCTCAAGGGATCCTGGCCAATCCCCAAGCAGGAGGCTTGGAATGGGGTCAGGACAGCTCTTAAAGTGGTTGTAAAGGCTGAAGGTTTTTTTACCTTCATGTATTCTATGCATGAAAATAAAAAACCTTCTGTGGGCAGCAGCTCCCCCAGCCCCCCAATACTTACCTGAGCCTCATCGCGATTCAGCGATGTGAAGGACAGCCACGGCTGTCATGGGTCTCTGGACACACGGAGCAGCGGGTGCCCCCATAGCAAGCAGACAGGAAGAGCTAGGAGAGCCAGTGGGGGACCCGAGAAGAGGAGGATCCAGGCTGCTCTGTGTAAAACCACCGCACACAGCAGGTAAGTATAGATGTGTTTGTTATTTTACAAAAAAAAGTGAACCTTTAGAATTGCTTTAAGAGTGACTGAGACTGTTCAGCAGCAGGAGCGTTCGGGTGGAAGACGCGAGGAAGCTGAGATGCAGGAGCCTAGGAGAGGGCCCAGTGGGAAGGGGCCTACCTGCAGACAGGAAGCTGGAAAGGAGAATCGCTCAGCCTCACCGCCCCTGCAGAGCGAGGACCACCTGTAGGGCCAGGAAAGGAGCCAGCCAAGCGGAAGGCATGTAGGCATACTTAAATTATATTTGTGAAGGCAGCTACCTACCTAATTCAGCTCAAAGGACTGAGATTGAGTAGTCCTACACCCCCTGGGCCAGTTAAAAAAAGAGCACTCTGGTGGGAAACCTGATTCGCTCCTTACCCAGGACTGTTTCATTTAACCACTTGCCTACCGGGCACTTTTACCCCCTTCCTGCCCAGGCCAATTTGCAGCTTTCAGAGCACTTTGAGTGACAGTTGCGTGGACTTTAAGTCCAGACACTTTCCCCCCCTTCCTGTCCAGACCAATTTTCAGCTCTCAGCGCTATCACCCTTTGAATGACAACTGCGCAGTCATGCAACACTGTACCCATATGCATTTTTTTAGCATTTTTTTTGAGACAGATAAAGCTTTATTTTGGTGGTATTTCTTCACCACTGGGATTTTTATTTTTTTTTGCTATGTAAATGAAAATGTCAAATTTTGAAAAAAAATTTTTTTCTTACAAAATTTTGCAAAGAAATAATATTTCATCATAAATCTTGGCCAAAATGTATTCCGATATCTTTGTAGTAAAAAAAATAAATAACCCAAATTAGTTTATAACCAAAAATTATAATTTTTTAAATTTTTTTTAATTTTTTTTTATATTATTTGTTTTTTTTTTTTTTTTACATACTGTCACCCTAGCAGTACAGTGTCACCATGGTGACACTGTACTACTTGTATGGGGTGATGAAGATTTTTTTTTTTTTTTTTTTAATACACATTGCTTTTACAGCCTTTATGGGTGTAAAAGCAATCATTTCTCCTCTCTGGCTGTATTCTTGCAGCCATTGAGAACTACTGTGAGAGCTGTGATTGGTCACAGCTTGTCACATGGTACAAGGCTGTTGTGAATAGCCCTGTACCATGTGATCTCTGCAATCATTCACAGATTTCACACGTAGTAAGCAATGATGTCAGAAGTGACATCTTGCTTACTGCTCTGCATGTGATCACTGATTGGCCAATCAGTGATCACATGATCGGGACCTCACACAGAGGTCCCGTACGACGATCGGTGTTCCACTGTGTCTGAAGGACACAGCGGGCACCAAATCGTGGTGCTGCACGCTCCCAGGGAACGCGCACAAGCAGGGGGCGGGGAGGCCATTTATGAACGGTCACCCGACCCTGCACTGCCACTGTCCGGCTGTTTATATACAACGGCCAGAGGGGAGGTGGTTAACACCGCTGAATAAAACATAAAACCAAGCTCAAGGACTGTTTACTGACACTGAATACACGTCTGTGGAAAATGCGTGTTGCCTGGCTGTGCAGGACTATAGGGGGACCCAAATCTTCAGTAACTCCTACGGGGGTAGTGCTACAATGGAATCTTACCTGTGACAACGACGAGATGTGGATTGGATGCCATTCATCTGTCACATGGATGGGAGACCCTGTACAGTAGATGAATAATCGATCAATAGTCGAAGATCCCTTTATTCTCGCTCAAGGTTTCTGATATCTGCCTTCCAGGTAAAGAAGTAAAATTAGCTTATACCAGGGGTCTCCAAACTTTAGAAACGAAGCGCCGGTCTACTGTCCTTCAGACTTTAGGGGGGCCGGACTTGGCCAGTGGGGGAAGAAAATGTCCCAGCATCAGTGGGAGGAAACAATGCATCATCATTGGTATTAACGGGAGGAATAGTGCCCCATCATTGGTGTTAGCAGGAGGAATAGTTTCCATTGTTGGTGTCAGTGGGAGGAATAGTTTCCATTGTTGGTGTCAGTGGGAGGAAAGTTTCCATTGTTGGTGTCAGTGGGAGGAATAGTTTCCATTGTTGGTGTCAGTGGGAGAAATAGTGCCCATAATTGGTGTCAGTGGGAGGAATAGTGCCCCATCATTGGTGTCATCAGGAGGAATAGTGACCCATCATTGGTGTCAGCGGGAGGAATAGTGCCCCATCATTGGTGTCAGCGGGAGGAATAGAGCCCCATCATTGGTGTCAGTGGAAAAGTGCCCCATCATTGGTGTCAGTGGAAAAGTGCCCCATCATTGGTGTCAGTGGGAGGAATAGTGCCCCATCATTGGTGTCAGTGGGAGGAATAGTGCCCCATCATTGGTGTCAGTGGGAGGAATAGTGCCCCATCATTGGTGTAAGCGGGGGGAATAGTGCCCCATCATTGGTGTCAGCGGGGGGAATAGTGCCCCATCGTTGGTGTCAGTGGGAGGAATAGTTTCCATTGTTGGTGTCAGTGGGAGGAATAGTGCCCCATAATTGGTGTCAGTGGGAGGAATAGTGCCCCATTATTGGTGTCAGTGGAAAAGTGCCCCATTGTTGGCATCAGTTGCAGGAACTATGCTCTCACTGTTGCTGATGGTGGGGGGGGAATAATGCCCCAAGGGCCGGATAAAAGCAAGCAAAGGGCCACATTTGGGTGCAGTTTGGAGACCAATGGCTTATACTATTGCCAATAACTAACATGGATGAATATGGATTTATCAAACAATGTGGCACAAAAAGTAAAAAAAAAAAGAAAAAAGAAACAAAGTTGATGCTTCTGCAGACATTTGCTGTCAGATGTCACCTCTGACATGGAGACAACAAACACAAAGTATTAGTGCCGGTCACATACAGTTGGAATCACATCCAATCCGCATGACATGTGAAATACCATTGCTTCCTATGGTGCCTGTTCACACGTGTCCGGTGCACTGGCGGTGCTGATTGAGGCTCCGTTCACACCAATGCGTTTTTTTGTGCTTTTTGCAGAAACGCACTACAGTCCATGTAACACGGTTTCCTATGGAACATGTTCACATTTATGCTCTTTTGAGCTGCTGTGTTTTTGGAAAGGGCCAGAGACTTTTTTAAAGCAAAAAGCAGCGTTTTTGCTACAATAGACTTCAATGGAGAATCTGCTGAAATGCAGGGTAGAGTGTTTTTGCAGCGTTTTGCATTTTTAGTGTGCCCGGTCAAAAAAAAACGCTGCCGTGTAGAGTTCAGGGGTCATGAGTAAGTGACACAGAGTTCAGGGGTCACGAGTGACACAGAGTTCAGGGGTCACGAGTGACACAGAGTTCAGGGGTCACAAGTAAGTGACACAGAGTTCAGGGGTCACAAGTAAGTGACACAGAGTTCAGGGGTCACAAGTAAGTGACACAGAGTTCAGGGGTCACGAGTGACAGAGTTCAGGGGTCACGAGTAAGTGACGCAGAGTTCAGGGGTCACGAGTGACGCAGAGTTCAGGGGTCAGGAGTAAGTGATGCAGAGTTCAGGAGTCACGAGTAAGTGACAGAGTTCAGGGGTCAGTAATCACTCAGAGGTTAGGGGGGTCAGGAGTAAGTGATGCAGAGTGCGGGGGTCAGGAGTGAGGCAGAGTGCGGGGGTCAGGAGTAAGTGAGGCAGAGTGCGGAGGTCAGGAGTGAGGCAGAGTGCGGGGGTCAGGAGTAAGTGAGGCAGAGTGCGGAGGTCAGGAGTGAGGCAGAGTGCGGGGGTCAGGAGTAAGTGAGGCAGAGTGCGGGGGTCAGGAGTGAGGCAGAGTGCGGGGGTCAGGAGTGAGGCAGAGTGCGGGGGTCAGGAGTAAGTGAGGCAGAGTGCGGAGGTCAGGAGTGAGGCAAAGTGCAGGGGTTCAGAGTGAGGCAGAGTGCGGAGGTCAGGAGTGAGGCAGAGTGCGGGGGTCCAGAGTAAGTGTGGCAGAGTGCGGGGGTCCAGAGTAAGTATGGCAGAGTGCGAGGGTCCAGAGTGCGGGGGTGCGGAGTAAGTGTGGCAGAGTGCGGGGTCAGGAGTAAGTGTGGCAGAGTGCGAGGGTCCAGAGTGCGGGGTCAGGAGTAAGTGAGGCAGAGTACGGGGGTCCGGAGTAAGTGTGGCAGAGTGCGGGGGTCCGGAGTGAGGCAGAGTGCGGGGGGTCTGGAGTGAGTGTTGCAGTGCGGGGGTCAGGAGTGAGGCAGAGTGCGGGGGTCTGGAGTGAGTGTTGCAGTGCGGGGGTCAGGAGTGAGGCAGAGTGCGGGGGTCCGGAGTGAGTGTTGCAGTGCGGGGGTCCGGAGTGAGTGAGGCGGAGTGCGGAGGTCAGGAGTGAGGCAAAGTGCAGGGGTCCGGAATAAGTGTGGCAGAGTGCGGGGGTCAGGATCAGTAGTAAGTCCCTATTACCGCCCTCTGAACAGTTGCACCAAGGAGAAAGAACTGACATAACCTCCCACAGAGACGACACAGAACACTCAGCCCAGCCCCGCCCCTCCCAAGAAGGCGGGAACACACAATCTCAGCCTGACAGGGAACATTCTCCACGTGTTTACTAAGGATTGGCGGTAGCCAATAGTATCTCGGGGCTGGACTTTCAGCCTAGCTGAGGGGCGGGTGGGGCGGAGCGAGGTTCGGCCGGTCGGAGTCACAGAACACAGTGGGCTCCGCCCCCCGGAAATGGTGACGCATATGGCGAGGGTACACAGGTAAACAGTAAGCTGGGAGAGGAGTTCAGCTCTGTGTGTCCGGGGGACACTTCTTCCTGCGTGTGTGCACCACGGTCAGGTGGCTCCTCAAGTTGTACAGGGACTTGTAGTTCTACAAGTAGAGAAACAGATGACGCCTGTGCTTGTTTGGTGTGTACACAGCGCATGCGCGGCTAAGGCTGGCTGTTAGAAACTTTGCCTTGTGTCCCCTCCAATCCTTCCCTCCTTCCCTGACATGGGACTCAGAAACCGGAATTCCACTTCACTGTAACCCTTTCCCTGCCAGAAGCAGTTATTGGCACACATAAAGCACGTTTTAGGCTTGAAGATTAGTCCACCACTTCAGCCCCAGACACTTTACCTACTTCCTGCCCAGGCCGCTCTCATACTGTGCGTCGCAATTGCGCGGTCGTGCAACACTAACCATATGATATTTCTAGCATTTGAGGCAGATAAAACTTTCTTTCCGTGGTATTTATTCACCATGGGGTTTTTGTTATAAAAATATACAAATAATCTTTCTTCATAAATCTTGGCCAAAATGCATTCAGCTACCTTTTTGGTTAAATTAATAATCCAAATTAACCCAAAATAACACAAATCAGTTGATAAAAAAATAATTATAATTTTTCAATTTTTTTTTACTTTTTAATTTTATTTTTTAATATTATTTATGGGTTTTTTTCTCCTTTCATTTCTCTTCTCTGGCTGCATTCTTGCAGCCATTGAGAAATACTGTGCAAGCTGTGATTGGTTACAGCTTGTCACATGGTACAAGGCTGCTGTGAATGTCCCTGTGCCATGTGATCTCTGTGATTTCACAAGTAGTAAACAATGTCTTGTTTACTGCTGTTCATGTGATCTCTGATTGGCCAATCAGCGATCACATGAATCAGGACCTCACACAGAGGTCCCGCACAGCGATTTGTGTTCAGCTTTGTCCAGTGGACACAGCGGGCACAGATCACGGCGCCGTGCTCTCCCTGGGAGCGCACACAGTCAATGGATGCGTGGGGACTTTTAGAAACATCCCCCCTGTGCTGGCAATGCTCCCGGTTGGCCGTTTTTCAGCATGGGCCAGACGGGAAGAGGTTAACCCCCCCCCCCCTCCATGCTTTATATATTTTCTGAAATCAGACACCCTAGAGCAGGGGTGTCAAACTGGCGGCTCTCCAGCTGTTGAGAAACTGCAAGTCCCATCATGCCTCTGCCTTTGGGAGTCATGTTTGTAACTGTCAGTCTTGCAATGCCTCATGGGACTTGTAGTTTCACAACACCTGGAGGGCCGCCAATTTAACACCTCTGCCCTAGAGAATAAAATAGTGCTAGTTCCAATATTTTTCATCATACAATATTTGCGCAACGGTTTATAAAACGCAACATTTCAGTTGAATAGACATTAGAGTGAATCATAGCGCACAGAGCCGCAATATATTATTATTATTATACAGTATTTATAAAGCGCCGATAGTTCGCTCAGCGCTGTACATTACAAAGGGGGACAGAACATGTGACAGAACAATACCAATACAATGCAAAACATGAGGGGATCGAGGGCCCTGCTCTTTCGAGCTTACAATCTAGGAGGGAGGGGATGGTAGCACAGGAGGAGATAGCTGTGGGGGATGGGGTGGTAGGAAGAGTGGAGGAGGTCGGCAAGTTAGCAGGGGGTGGGGTAGGCTTCCCTGAAGAGATGGGTTTTCAGGGTGCGCCTAAAGGAGAGGAGAGTAGGTGATAATCTGATGGGTTGGGGCAGGGAGTTCCAGAGGATGGGTGACACCCTGGAGAAGTCCTGGAGGCGGGCATGGGAGGAGGAGACCAGGGAACTAGAGAGAAGGAGGTCTTGTGAGGAGCGGAGTGTGCGTGTTGGGTGGTACTTGGATATTAGGTCAGTGATGTAGTTCGGGGCAGTATGGTGGACGCTTTGTACGTCAGTGTTAGGATTTTGAATTTGATCCGTTGGGCAATCGGAAGCCAGTGGA